TTATATATTTATTAACTTTCTTTCTCAGCTGCCTGAGAAAAATGGCACACATGGCCCGAAATGTGTTAGTTTATATTTTTGGAAGAGTGAATGCAGTTATCTGTTAGGAGAAGACACCTGTGTGGTCCAGTGGGACTCAGGAAATCCAAGCTGTCATTTGGCCATGAAGCTCACAGAGTAACTACGCCAGTCACTGACAGTCAGCCCAGACTACTTCACAGAGTTATGACGATAAAACGGAAAGAGGACTCTGAAAGCTGCCTTGAGCTCCTTGCTAGAAGAAAAGGGGTGGAATATAAATGTAATGGTAAATACATACATGAAGACTCTGATTTCTCCTCTAGAGAAAATGAAAGAATTGCACTTTGGGCTACCAACATGGTAGAAGTGAACTTTCCCATAGGTGCCTAAGACTATATGACTCTGTCTTTCTGATGAGATGGGGGTCAGGAGTCCTACAACACAAGACTTCTCCGGTTAGTTAGCATTAACCTGCCTCTTCCTCCATAAGGAAGAAATCCAGTAATTCCAAAGAAAACTTCCTTGATTATTTTCGGCTTCATTCCTAGCCTTATTTGTGGTTCCTGTTTCTTTCCATCATGATTCCGTTTTTCCCTCTCCCTCTCAGATGCTAACTAGTAATAATAAATTATTAAAACCAAAAATGTACCCTAGAAGATAAATTTCAGGAAGTCCTTCACATTAGTTCTTGAGCCTCGGATAAATTAAGTCATAGTGATGCAAAACCAAGGAGAAAATGCCACATAATGTAGACTCTTTTGATTTTTTTCCTAAGGTCCCTCTACTCTTCCTTTAAAATATATATTATATAATGAATCCTGATATGAAATAGGCTTCTAAATAAACTAATTGACCTAAAATAAATCTTTAGGGACCAGTAACTGTATTCCACTTTGCAGAAAAAGATATGAATCCACCAGGCCAAAGAGGTTCCCTGCTGAAGATAAAAATAAGCAAAGAAATTGTAAGGCAGCCTTTTCAAGCATAGAGGTGAAGACTTTTGACTGATACTGCCAGATTATATAGGATACAGCTGTTAACTTTTGGGAAAAGATTGATAGTTGGGACAGGAACAGAACTAGCAGGCAATTCCATTCTAGTAGCCAACATCTTTGAAGAAGAAGGGTACAAGGAGAGAAATTCTGATTTATTCTGGTAGTAGCTGCATTGCTCTGAACAGTGAAATGTCTTTCTCTCAGGGTGCTTCCATACCAGCTATAATCAGCTTGTCTTGTTCACAGAACTATGTTGTGGACCCAGATCTTCCACTTATTACCCTCCCAGGTCCCACAGTCTCACCATTTCTCCCATCTTTTTGCTATCCACAAAAATTAATCAACAAAGATGGAATAGTTGCATGATGCCTTACGATTGCTAGTCCTACAACAAATGATATAACTATTTGTAAAGTTCCCTGATCTTTGTACAGATTCCCTTTTGGCAAATTCTGTTAAATTCTTTAGTTAGAAAAGTTTGGGTCTTCTGTGGAATATTCACTCGGAGTGCAGATAGGACTTTCATGCAGGTTTCGGCTATGCTAGTTAACTAGCTTAGCAGATGCATCTACCCTGACAAATCAGAACACTAAGAGTCCATGGGGCATTATTTAAGGAAGGTGCCGTGTGTGTGCATTCCTGTCTATCTATTCTTTTAGACCCCATATGATGACCGATCAGGACAACCTTTTGTACTGGTCAGCTACAGATGAGTGAGTATAAATCAGTGGTTTTCAAACCTCTTACTTCAGGAAATATATTTGTTGGAACTATATCCTGGTTGCAGATGTGCCACATGTTCTTTGCTCCTACTTTAAGGAAGTGCAGCCCCATTCAGAACAAACTGAAGATTACCTGCAAAGGTAGACACAACACCCACCTGTCAGGGCTAAACATCATTTATTGGTTACCACCCAGTCTATTAACAATCCCAGACTCTGATTTAATGCTTCTTCTTTTTCTCCTTCTTTCTTTCCTTCCTCCCTGCTCAGCAAACTGCGATGGAAGGTACAGATTGCTCTTGCTGTGGTCTGAGCTGATCATTTGCAGAAAACTTTTAAATTTAAGCTGAGGACAGCAGATTGTCTGCCACAGCCTCTGTTCACATGGGCATCAGTTTGATATTGTGGGTACAGACTTACCTGTCTTCTTGCACTGTGAGTGTGTCCTAGAACAACTTTACTACTGCTACAGCTTCATGTGTTACAGAGGAAGATCAATAATAACTGTAGAAAAAATGTTTTTCAAGTAACTTAATTGTCCATCACTCCTTTCTCATTGAATAAACGGTCATACATCTCTATGCAAGCTTGCTGCAGAGTTCCTAGGAACACAAGTGAAACCCCTGTGTAATTCAGGTTGCAATCCTAATCCACATGCCTGGAAATAAGTCCCATTAAACTTCATTTAGAAGGCCTTCTGAAGCAGGTAAGGATGCAAGAGTAAAGCTATCACTTCTTTTTTAAAAGAGCAACAACAAAGAGGTTGACTCTGGCTATTGTTATTTCCCCTACCTAATGTCCTCCAGATATTTTGGAATACAATACCCATCAGGCCCAGTATGGCCAATGGTCATAGAAGATATTAATTAGAATTTAAAGCATGTGGAAGGCACCCTTTGATGAAAAAATCATGGCAAATGCTGTTGAGATATATTATTATTATTATTATTATTATTATTATTATTAGAACATTTCTATGCTGCCCCTTGCCAAAGCCTCAGGGCGGCTTACAACACAATAAAATACAATACAATACAAAAATAACAATATAAAATTAAGATTAATAATATAAAATAAATAAAAATATAAACGATATAAAAGAAGTTATAAAAGTTATAAAAGAAAATATATGAGGTTGTTTGTGTGTGTGGGGGGGGGGAGGATTATAATTTTTGTTTTGTAATATAACCTAGAATATTTCCTTGGCCAAGCCTTTAAACCTTGATATAACTTTAACCAACCTCTTGGTGAAATGAGAGATAATGAAATAGTGTGTCTGCTAAGAACACTTTGCACCTTCCAAACAAATGGCCTCAGGTTTCAGAACCCAGAATTTGCAAGTGAGGGGAAGAAAGGAGCATTCATTCTTACTGTCTTGTTGCTTCTTTGCAAATAAGCCAAAAACTTTAGCACAACAAAAGCTCAAACAGAATAAGTATGGACCTGACAATGTCATGGTCTACATTTATCACTAGACTTGAGGGCTGGTGCGACCATTAGGCAGGGTGAGGTGGCTGCCCCAGGCAGCAAAATGTGGGGGTCCAGTGTGGGGACAGCAATGAAGCATGGGAGGGCAGGATCTTATGTGCCAGGTAGCCTCTCCTTTGCTCCTAAAACTACCTGACTGCCTTCAAGTGTGGTGCCCTCTTGTCAATGTGCTGCAGGTCAATTCAACTGTGAGTCCCGTCTGCTTTTGTGCATGGAATGGGGGTGGGGAGCCATCTTGTCTTGGGCCTCAGGCAGCAAAATCCCTTGAGCTGACCCATGACTCACAGCCTTTCCTAAGCTTTGCCTTGTGCTGCAAATGTGCTGCAAGCAAGCCAGGGCGGTAAGTGAAGAGGGACGGCCCCCTCAGAGGGCTGTCGTGGGTGTCATGGAAAGGCAACAAATTGCTAACTAATAATATAGCATTATTGGCTCAATCTGCTTTTTTATCTATACAGCAACAAAGGAGGACAGATGCTTGTGAGGTTTTCTGTCTCGGGGGCCAAAATGAATTGGTCGGCCTTGAGCACTACACCTTGACTGGAGTGTGCATGTCCTCTGCAGCTGCCCCAAGCAGCCAGCTATCTTGGGTCAGCCACAAAAGGGACAAGCTGCAGCGCTGCGTGTGAAGTTACCACCTATGTGCATGTCCACACAGCCGCTTCTCTGCATCTTGCCAAACTCTCATGCATGAATCCTGCTCACATTTCTGCTTTCCACGCCCATTTGGCAGGCTTGTGAATAAACAACTTTTCAGCAAAATGGTATCATACAAATGCTAAATTATTATTATATTGCATTTATATTTTGCCACCTTCTTGCAAGATGGTTTACAAGGTTCTTTTCCTATCCATTTTATCATCACACCTTTGTGAGGTGGGTTAGACTGAAAGTCCATATGACTGGCCCAAAATCATCCAGTGAGGTTCTTGGCTGAGTGGGGACTAGAACCCGGATTTTCCAGATTTCCAGTACAACACTGTAACCATCATGCCACACTATGCCGTAATGCGACAATGCAGCCAAAGGTACACCTTGTTATAGGTGGTAAACTGGTAATCCAACAACTCGCTCTTCCTTTGCAATAATGGGAATTCAGCTTAGCTGGATTATACGGAGAAACTCCGATTTCCCCCCCCACCCCCCCGGATGCACATGACTTTGTAATAGTCCCACACGACATCACGCTGAACATCTTATAAAAAAAAGACGAACCCCCGAGCAACAACGAGAATAAGGCTTTTTTTTTACGGGTTTTTGATGGGAATAATGGAGATGGTTTTCTTTGTAGGAAGAGGCACTCTTGCACGATGTCTTCCCCTTCCCATAAAAACAAAACAAACTTCTTAATTAGAATATCTCGCTCAAGATTCCGAAAGGCTTGGCAGTGAGAGGTTTGATTTTCTTGCCTTTTTGTTTTTAATGTACTGCTATAAAAGGGAAATGATTTCTCTAAACTGTGTTATTAAAACGTTCCGAAGCGAGGGAGGGACAGAGAGGGAGCGGGCGGGCGGCCACACCTGATAGGCTGGCGTCTTTCCGCCACTGCCACCGCCGCCACCATCCCCACCTCCCCCCGAAGCCCCTGGAGTTTGAAGCACGAATCTTGCCTGTTCGAGCCAGTGGGTTGCTGGAAAGGGAGCGAGAGGCGTGGCCGCCAGCGGTGCGCGCGCTGTGCGTCCGTGCGTCTCTCCCGCTTGCTCGCTCGCTCTCTCGCTCTCTCGCTCGCTCGCGCTTTCTGCACGCTGGGACGCTGCGCTTGAAGGATCGGTCTGGAGGGAGTCTCCGCTCGGAGGAGCGGACGCCGGGCGGCGGCATCATGAAAGGCTGCGGGGCGCTGGGGATCGTCGGTCTGCTGACGCTTCTGTGCAAACCAACAGGTGCGGACCGAGCGGCTCGGGATTCCTCTTCGCGCCCTGGACGCAGTGGCAGCCTCCCGCGGCGCTACCTGCGCCAGTAACCCCGACGGTTCCTCGAGCACCAGAGGGACCGGCGCGTCCTTTGGTTACGCGTCGCTTCCTCAAGACCGGAACCGGGGATTGTGGGTTTGGGAATCTGCGAGCGTGGACGATAGTCCCGCAGCGCACCTGAGGATAGGCGAAGAATGGCGTAAGGGAGGGCAGCCGGGTGGCTGGATGGGAGGCGTTTGATTTGCAAACAGCTTGAGTGTCTGCTGAGGATTTCTGTGGAGTTGCTTGCAAGTTTGAGTGGAAAGAGTTGAAGGCTTTCACTTGTGGCTGGGAATGAAGTTTCCAAGTAAACTTTCCCAAGCAGCCGTGCCCATCGCGGGATGCGCCTTCGTTAACGTTCCGCCCCGCAAATCCCGTTAAGCGGCCGCGAGAAGGGCGCTCGGATCTTGAAGCCGTTCCTCGACCCCTTACTTTGAAGTTACGTCCCGTCGATTTCGAGGGAGCTTTTTCCCTGCAACGTGCTTAGTAGGAATCAAACGACCGCCCCATTGGATGAGGATATCAGAGGGCTGTGCCTCAGGGCTCTTCAGTACACTCGAAGGGAACCTCTTTTTGTTGAAATCAACAGCCCCGTGCAGCCCGATCCTGTGTTAGGGATCCGTGTGGAGAACTGACAAAGCAATCCTATGCATGGCCTTTTACTAAGAATGATGCCCCATTAAGTTCCATAGAATTTACTCCCAAGTAGGCAAGCATAGAATTGCAGGCTAAGTTCTGTTGAATTCAGTGGAACTTACGCATGGGCTAACAGGCTTAGGAGTGCACCTTAAAGTGTTTAATAGTGCAATTTTATGCAGTTCTGTTTAAACGTAAGTTCCATGGATTTGAATTGGCTTTACTCCCATATTTCTGCAATTCAGTACCGGCTTAGGTGGGAGAAACCTCTGGAGACTTTTGTGTTAGTCAAGCATATGATTGCACTGTGTGGCATTCAACCTAAAGCCATTTGGCAATCCCAGTTGGAGAAAACTCAAAAGAGAACATTTTCCCAGTGTTGGTTTATCAGTTTGTTGGGATATTAAATGAAGTGTATTGCTCTTAAATTAAAAAAAAAAAACATTTCAGAAATTCTTTGGTCTGAAAAGTCACTTTAAGGGGAGAGAGAAGTCAAGATGTAGGTAATGCAAGTCTTTTTGCCCATTTGTATATAAATATCCTTATCATGTTAGGTTTGTAGAAAAACCTCTCCTGCCAACACAACCTGCAGTGGAGTCACATGACAGTTTGTGTGAGGATTCTCACAACTTATGGGTGTATGGACACAGCTTAAGAATCTTGTTCATGCCGACTCCCAGTCATGTGCATCCAAAGCCATAAGCAACATCCAGCTTTTAGCGCACCATTTCAAGTGCTGGTGTTTGAGCATGTGCCAGACACCATGAAAGCAGAGTCAGCGTGTGCGTGGCTGCACAGAGTATGGGCTGGGCATAGAGTAAGCTGGCAGACAGGATTCTGAGCAGGCTGTTGTTGCCTCCTGGTCTGGTGGATCATTGCGTTCTCACAATCAGGTGTGTGTTTTTCTTGTGGGATCCTTGTGGGATCTGGGAAGGATCAAGCAGGGTTAATGATGGAGTAAGCCTACAGTTTTTAGACTCTGAGCCTTTCTTCTCTAACCATATGGCTCTGGAGCCACTCAAATTCCATAATATCATTCATGCTACTGTGAAATAGCTATAAAAATGTGTTACTGAACGATGAGTTTTCCCACAGTTTAAATCTGAGGAAAGTGTGCCAATTTGAGACATACATGTACCATAACAACGGTCCAGGAATTGCCACGTGCATGGTGTTCCCTGCCACAATACAAGCTGGCTATTGCTCAGAGGAGTTACCTCTGTAGCACACACAGAGAAGCACCTGCAATCACCTTGGACCGGCCACTACAATTCTTTAGCACTATATGACTAGAAATAGAGAACATGGTGCAAGTAAAAACAACACCCAATCACCCACCTTTTCCAAAGAATTTTGATTAGAATCCTGATATTAGCAAGCAGTAAAAGAGATGCTCAAATAATTTTTGAAAAGTGAATTTCAAGAACAGGAAACTACCTTACAAAGAGTCAGTATTACCCAGTAGTGTTGACACTGGCCATGTAATAATGATGTCCAGTGGCAAGTTGCAAATTAATTATCTCATTGCTGAGACCCATGCTATGCTGAGTCATTTTCAGTTTCCAGGAAAAACCTAGGAAAGCTGCATTTGCAGGTTGTTTTTGCAATGTCAGAACAGAGTCTGTGAGGCTGTTAATGTGTTAAACCCCATTCACCCAAGAACAAATCATTAATTAGCCCAAGAAGTGCCACCCAGTAGCACTGTTGCCTCTAAACAGGGCTATTGACCAACAGCAACTTCTCAGGTTTCAGGCAGTGGTTTTTGTTACCTCTACCTGGAAATGCCAAGAATTGAGCATGGTACTGTAGACACATAACCTTGAGAAGTTACTACTTTCTCTGGATAAAATAGCCACTGTACAGTGGAATAGTTTGTAGATACACAGCACTTGTTGCAGAGGAATCACTTGCTCAGCAGTCTGTTTTGCCTGGGTCTTGACACTTCCAACACGTTGGTTATGGTACTCTAATGTGGCTTTTAAAGTACCTAAGATGTGGTAACACCTTTTAATGTACTGTTCTCTGGAAGAGTCTGAGCTGTGTGCTATGCAAGTGCAATATCAAAATTTGCCACTGAGAGGAGACTTTAGCAACCATACATAGCCTTTTTTTTATCTTGAGCACATGCAAAGTGTCTATGCTAATATAACTTTTTAAACCTTTATTTTGCATGATTGTAAACATGCATAGAGTTTGTCTGTCTGTCTGTCTGTCACCGGAATGGAGCTTAAATCTTTTTCTGTAGTGCTGTTTTTAAGACTGACTTGCCTTGTGATCAGGACATTGTGTCTTTGTGGTTCAAAGGATTGTTGAAAAGTACATCAGCAATGAAGATGCAAGACTGAGGCTGTCTAGAGGAGATGAAACTAGAACAGTGTATTTATTCTTTCTTAACATAGACATGGTTTGTTCAGTCTGTATAGAGACATTAATGGTTATTTGACTTGACACCACATATTTATTTCAGTCTTTCCTTGATGGTTTATTAAGAAACCCAGCAATTTTAATTACTTGTAACTTTTATGCATAGTTGTGGGTTCCACATTGATCTTGTCACAAATCCATTTCCTCACAGTTCCTAGTGCCTCATGTCTGGCAACTTGGTGATAGACAACTTGGGAAATACTGATTTACATCTGAATTCTAAAAACAATAACATGGAGGTATATGAGCAAGACTGTATGACAAGTTTTTATATCCACAAATGCATGTATGGGTTGAATATAAACACAAACCACTGCATTTATTGATAGATACGATTATGGATTGCAACTTTTGACAGAAAAATAGAACTACCTGATCTTTACCAGACTTCCAGTCTCCTCTACTTTGTGAGCCAAATCTCATAAATTGGTTCCACATTGTCTACTTTTGGATCAGTTGTGAGCACAGACACACATTTATGAAGCACTTCTAAAGCATGGCTGCACCAGCTGAACATCATAATTCATGGGGTTATATCATCAGTATAGGAATAACTGCACAGCAAAAGTGTTAATCATGTTATATTGGGAGTGTCTGTCCTGGTCCTTCAAAATTCTAGAATTTGGGTATGTCAATATCAATTTCATATTGCTATCAAACGTGAAAGCAAAACCATATAGCCTACTTCAGGTATTCAGTAACAGGTGTGTGAAGGGGATTCTGAGAACCTAGCTTCACCCGATAGGTACTGACATCCACATCCCCCAGGAAGGTATATGACTGGCATCAGTCCTAAGGAAGACCACACACACATGGCTATAAATATATAGAACTTCCTCTGTGGGACAGCAGGGTCTTGTCTCTGTGGAAGAAGCCCTGCACATGTCGATATACATGTGGGAGCTGTGGAGGCTGACCACAGGAGCATGTTGATATTTTGAGGCTATACAGTGCATCTCTGAAGTACCTTCACTTGTTTGATGACTGAAGTGGTCACGTATTTCAAGGCCATTTATCTCTGAGTATCAGGTGATGCAGAGAGTCTCCATCACATTCGGCCTTTGACTTTCCAGAAGCATCAGGCCAGTTGGAGACATAGTGCTGGATTAGAGAAGTTTTGCTCTGTCCAGCAAAATATTTCTTACATTCTTCTGGGCAGCACAGCAGCAATAAGGCACTTTGTGTGTGGTACAGAGCTGAGATGTGGTGGTGGCCATGATGTGAAATGGTAGGTATGGAGACTTTGTGCCATCCTGAAGGTCTTTGGACTCTTCATTCAGTTAAAGGGTCTGCTGGAACAATTGCAACTGGATTGTGTAGGAGGGTAGAGTCTAGAGAGCTTTGCCTATGGACAGTATAGAAATGTACTGTAATAATAATAACCACTACTACCAAATTTATCTTTCAAAGGGTGCTGCTGTATCCGGGGCAAAAACAGGGTGAGGTGCAGAGATAAAATATACTTAAGTCCAGTTGAAATCAGTGGTCCATAACCTCCCAATTAAGCATCTGCATCTAATTGCTCATACTTAGCACAGTTTCAGTGCAACATTTTGCTCATAAAGAGGTCAGTAGGACTTATGACTGGATAAATATGCATATGGTTTCAGTGTCCTTTGGATTGCACATAGGTCTGTAGAATAATATGAAAGAGCAAAGTGGCTGGAAACAACCTTTTAAGAATATTGGGCTGGATACTTTGCTTTTAGATGATGTCACTAGCACTTTGTAGCCTTAGAAAAAAGCCTTAATAAAGCTCTATGGTAATTTCCAGGACTGTGTGTGTTTAAAACAGAGATTGCTTGGTGTAGAGTTACACTATCTTTGCTCTGTTTTTCTTTGATAAAAGATGCTAATATGGAAGGGGAGGA